CCGCTTTTGGACGGAGACGCTTAACCGGGTAACGCGACCTATGACTACATGTGGCGGAAAGAGGGTCATACCGCAGTGCCGGTGAAGAAAGGCTAGCGGGCAAAGGCCGTAGTCGTGTTCCTCCCCGGCTAGCCTCCAATGGGAGCCCCTCCGAAAAAGAAAAACAATTAGTGAGAACGAAAATTTTTCGGCAAAGACCTCCCTCAGACGGAAGGTTACCAAACTCAAGAAGAAAAGACGGCACGATGGCCGACAAACACATATACATGTCACGCACGATGGCCGACAACCACAAATGTATTACCAATCCATGCGTAAGAATATAAGCGGTATTAACAAAGTAAACTACTACTACTAGTAGTACTACTACCTCGTCATCACGGACGGCGTCACCGGCGCGTGGAGCAGAGGCGCGCGTGAGGACGGCGAGGCGGGGACGGCGCGGCGAGGCGAGGACGGCGCGGCGAGGCGAGGACGGCGAGGCGAGGACGGCGCGGCGAGGATGGCGACGCAGGTCGGGCGGACGGCGAACCACGCGGCGGACGGGCGGATGGAGCGGGCACGCCGGATCGGGCGGGCAGCGACGGCGCCGGGCTGGTCGGGCGAGGGCGGTCGGCCATGGGCCGACGAGTCAAGACGCTGGGCGGCGCTCTGGCCGGGCCGGATAAGGGCGGGCGGCGGTGTGAGGGGCTCAAGGGCGGCTGGCGGCAGGAGGGGAAGTGCTGAGGGCAGCTGGGGGACGCCACGGGAGGGACCAGGCATGGGGGGCGCCACGGGAGGGAGGGTGGGCATGGGAGGGCGCCACATGGGAGGGACCAGCGGGGGGGCGCCACGGGGAGGGCACATGCATGAGGGCGCCGCCACGGGGGAGGGGACCACAGGGGGGGCCGCTGGGAGGGGCAGCCACATGGGAGGAGGGCAGGGCACTTGGGGGAGGGACCAACATGGGGGGGCGTCTGGCAGGGAGGAGCCAGGAGAGCCAAGGCTGGGGAGGGGCACAAGGTCGGCGACGTCGGCGACATGAAGGGGCGGGCGGGGCGGCGGCGGCGGGATTTTGGGAGGGAGGCGGGCCGAGCGGATAAGGCGACGTTTTTTTTTTTTTTTTTTTTCCTTTGCCGATCGCCAAAGATGTGACGCAATGCAAGAAGGTCTATTATTTTTTTCAAAAAATTTTTTTTTAATTTTTTAAAAATACTTTGCCGACCGCTCCGCTCCCCGGGCGTTCGGCAAAGGTTATTTTTGATTTTTTTCAGAATTTTTTGCCGATCGCCATCCTCCCCGGCAGAATCGAAAGAAGAATTAATCGATTTTTTTGCTAATTTGGTTTTTGATGGCGATCGGCAAAAAATTAATTTTACCGATTTTCGATCGATTTTTGTGTTGATCTGAAGGTAAGTACATGATATATTCAAGTTTGGGGTCATTTTGATTTATTTTGCTATATTCCATTGACATTTTCATTTCTTTGATAACCGGAGATGTCCAGTTTTAGCCACCCGACGAAATACTTGCTCGAAACTTTCTCAAATTTTTACCATGTTTCAAGGTATGGATGACAAGACACGCCGTCAAGTTTCGCCATTTTCGACTCGCTTCGATTTTATAAAATTTAAAATATTAAACCTGCTGGGTTTTCTGTGTGTTCCGACACCAACACGAAAGGTCGAATTTCACGCGAGCCTTGACACGGCCTCAACATGCTCCAAACATCATGAATATCATTTTTCAATCGCCGGATTCCATTATTTCATGTACCGCAGCTCAAACTGAGTCACGAAAAAATCAAAGAAATTGTAAAAATCTACTAATATAGCAAATAAATCAAATGATCCCAAACTGGAATATATCATGTACTTCATCAGATCAAGGCAACACAAAAACGGGATCGAAAAATAAAAAAATAAAATTTTTTGCCGAATCGCTGGAGGAGGATGGATGCTATAAAGTTCTCGCTTTTGCCGATCACGACGAGTGGCAATCGGGCAAAGGTGACGGTGTGGATGGCGTCAACCATGGCCTCGCTTTTTGCCGATCGCAATTCTTTGCCAACCGCTCGCGATCGGCAAAGCCAGCAATCGGCAAATCTCCCGCTTGCCGATCGCAGGAAATTCCAGTTATAAAGGGACCTCTTTGCCGAGTGTCGAAAAAAACAGTTGGCAAAGAAAATTGCGATCGACAAAGAGCCGATTTCTGTAGTGTATGTTAATGCTCCACCATGTCACTAAATTAATCTTTACTTCCTCTCTAACTCTGATAATATTGTCATATTTCGCTGTTATAATAAATTGAGGTAATATTCTGGTACTGTAATAAAATGATGTAAGAAATGACTTAAGAATGTTGTAAGCTTTATTCTCTCGTTATGATCCTGATAAAAAAAAAGTGGATTTTTAAGTTCTCCCTTGGGGTGTGCTCGACGGAACTGCGTAGTTTAGTGTCTTCTCATGGGAACTTAGTGTGTAATGAAAGACAAGTACTCCTGGGAGGCATTATATTAGGCGGTTCTGCCAAATATTCGCTCTTTAATTTCGAGATTGGAGTATAATTGACTTTCCTGTGTTGAGAGGCTTATTACCGATTCAGCTTAGACAGAAAATGTGAATCCATGGAATTCATGGCGCTCGGAAGATGATCGAGTGGCTCGTGCGCAGCCCGCAGAGACGTGTACAGTGAGCAACTGGGTATTAAACTGAACCACAGGTTGCATAGAGACGGCCGGGATGCCAGCAGGTGCTAGCAACCAGATATGGTGCCCTGGTCACTGTATGAACACATATACCTATGAGCACGTCCAAAGGATTGAGACTGAGCTGGTAGATTTTATCAAAGGCACATTGATCTCCCTACCCATATGAGCACGTCTAAAAGATTGAGACTAAGCCGATAGATTTATAGATTGACAATGTCACCATAGGTGTCAAGTCGATGACTTGAATCTAGGTGGGAACGTTCTATCACAAGAAACCCAAGCAGTTGATCTACGCTTTGTTTGCCACTTTTTTGGGTGTTGTCCAAGCATACTCATAATTTGTATATAAGAGACCGGCAGATGTGTTTTTCTTTTCTGATGTTTTTGTAAATCACCATCAGAGACGCGTCATCATAGACACGTTTTGTCTACATGCGTCTGTGATGAGTTGTCATAGTAGATGTGTTTTGTTTATATGAGTAGTCATCACATATGTATTTTGTCTATACACATCTATGACCAGGGCTCGTCACAGACTAGATTACCACACAGGTTCAAAATGCATCTGTGATGGACATTAACATGTGTACTTCCTCCGTCCTATAAAAAGCGTCATTCTTGCTTCTCAAGAAGTCAACTATTCTTAACTTTGATCAAATATATATAACAAAATTTTAATATTTATGGTTCATAATTAGTATCATTTGATATATGTTTCAAAATATTTTTTATAATAAACTTATTTGGATATACAAATATTGCTAATATTTTCTATAAATCTAGTCTAACTAAGATTGACTGGCACGAGTCCAGTAATGACTCTTTTTATGGGACGGAGAGAGTATGTGATAAAAGGATATGACATAGTGTCCTACTGGTCGAGTTCAAAAATCTCGGTTCTCTGATTGGCCTTGATGGTATTTTTAAGTGTCATTTTCATTTTTGGAGGCATCGCTATCGAGAAGAATGTCCCACCCCACTCTCTTCGCATGTTCTATGTGGAGTGTCCCACTCTCTTTGCATGTTCTATGTGGAGTGTTAGATGGTCTTTCTCTATCGGTGATTTGGTGGTTTGGCTAGTTGTGTTTACTATGGTGGTTGTCATGCATGCTTTCAGTTTCATTATGAGCACATTCATTTTGTTTGGTATGTACTATTATTATTTATGCCCGTGCCTATTAAGAAAAACAGGTACCTGCTATTATTTGTGGTGCCCGTGGCTTTAGAAAAAGAAGAAACACATACACGTCCATAAAAAGTCCATGGCTCTGAGGATGGACTCGGATTGGATTCGGATGGATACAGATTCGGATATCACTATTTACCACATTTTAATTCGAATTCGAATACGATTACGAATATTGCCGGATACAAAAGAAAAATAGATATCTTGAATTTGGATTCGAATTCAGGTATCTACTTGATTTTAAAGATAACTAGCAAATATGCTTGTGCATTGCAACGGGTGAAAAAAATGTAATTGCACACCTAGCCAATATGTAAACCATAGTGTAGTATTTTCTATAATCGCTCTTATAAGAAAGTAACCTGGCTTGTTTTAATTTTTCAGTTCCCATGAGTTGTAATGGTAAAATACTAACGTTTTTTCTCTTCTACGTATTACTTACTCGCCCATCACAAAATAACTGCACTCACTTCTCCAGAAGTTAATCCTTCTTAAATTGGTCTAAACATGTAGAAATATTTAATATTTATATTGCGTAATAATTAATAACTATTATTAGATTGACCGTAGAATAATATTTTCTCTATATATCTAGTTAAATTTAGAAAAACTTTAACTGTGTAGTTATTTTGGGATGGTGGCCGGCTTCATTTATTTATTGGGTGTATATCTACGCTAGACGACTGACGCTTTGCTTAACCTTCTTCCTCGCGTCTGCCTTCTCCCGATGCCGCCCTTATGAATCAATTTTCATCACACACCTTATGAATTTAAGATAAGCTTATATGTGAATAGCCTAAACCATTAAATAAATTCCAATTTCTCCAAAATGAAAGAATCCAAATGACACTATATAATGAAATAGAAACATTACAGTAATACAAAAGAATTTTCTTACAAGATAAATATCTAGTGTGCATAAGTATGATTTTGATGTCCTTACTCCAAATATTTATTCAACGATGAAATGCCATAGACCAGATTTATTTAAACAAAACTAACCAGCACGTGCATGTAAAATATACCAAGTATTTGCGATCGTGTTTACAAACTTCTTCTAGACTTCTTCTACATTTTGAATCGTGTTCTTGTTGTGGGCCTTTAATTTTACTGCGTGCTGCACAGGAGGGATGAACCAGCTCACAAGGAGCCTGGCTGCTGAGTGGGCCCCAGACAAGATCCGTGTGAACTGCGTCGCACCAGGGATGGTCATGACTGACATGGTTACAAACGTACGTACGTGAGGTGGACCTCATGGACTACTCACGTCCTTGTACATATTTTTACCACTTATTTCATTGTTTTCTTTCTTTTTTTATTATTACTATTTTATTTACCATGAGATAGATCGAGCTCGACAGCTACAGAATCCCATTGTTGTTTGCCATAGTAATCTGTGATTGAGTTTGGCATGTAAGTAGCAAACTCGGAAGCCATCGAGCACCAATCTCAGCGGATTCCACTGCGTCGCATCGGGGAGCCGGCGGAGGTGGCGTCCATGGTGTCGTTCCTGTACGTGAAAAACAGTTTGTAATAACGGGGCTTTTTTTTTTGGGCGGCTGGCATTGGAGCAGCTCCTACACAGTGGTGTGCTTGGAGTCCAAGACAAGAATCGCCCCCCAACAAATGGCACAATAAGGACGGCTGGTAATATGAGCCGCCCCTACAAATGGGTCAATTTGTAGGGCGGCTGGTATGTAGAGGCGGCTATTATCGGCCCGCCTGCTACTGCGGCCGCCCTACAAATGCCCGCTGTATATATAGCAGCCACCTTCTTCCATAATTTCACTTTCCCCAAACTTTTCTCTTCCACCGAGCTACAGCCATTTCCTACCCCCAACCCTCTCCTTCCTCACCGCTTGAAGTTGTCCGGTGGGCGCAGCGCCTTCCCCCTCACCGCGCCGCAGCCATGGGGCATCCCATCCCCTCTCTGCCGCCGGCTGCTCCTCTCCGCACCACGACATTCGCCGCCGCACCGCACCGCACTCCATCGGCTGCTGCCACCTCGCCACTCTGCGCTGCCGCCACCAATGCCCGGTTTATTGCTGGCGGTCCAAAGCCACCGGCCAGCCATTGACGCTGGGCCTTTGGTCGGCGGTGCGCTGAACCTCCGACGCCGGGCGGCGTGGCACCGCCGCCATGCCGAGGGCCCGAGCGAATCTGTGTTGGGGCCAAGCGGATCTGCGTTGGGCGCAGATAACCGGGGCCGGGGATCTCAGTGGTCGGGCACCTGGGTGATGAGCGGCGAGCGGTCAGCCTTTTTCCGCTTATCCTCTCCCTCTGAACTCATCCCTAAGAGGGCTTCAGATCTGAGCATACCCATTAGTGTGTAGGGTATTAGTGCCTAGATTTTTAGTGTGAGTGACTGGAAATTTGTTTATGCTCATGTACACCAGCTGAAGCTTCTCTAACATTGACGGTAATGTGTAGTTGTACTCTTTCTTGGCGCAATTTATTCTTTGTTGTATGACAAATTGTTTAGTTTTGGTTTGAAGTAAATGAATCATGAATGGCTTCTTTTTTGTCTTGTTTCAGATGTAGGGAGGGGTTGGAGATGCTCATGCCAACCAACTTAGACAACGATGATGGTCATTTAGTAGCCTTGTATTGTGTGGTGAGTAGCCAACTCAAAGCATGTGTGCTGGTATTAGCATCTGCATATTGCCATCCAAGAACCTGTTAGGAAGCAGTAAGAGTTTCTTATATGTTGAGGTGTGGAAGCAAGTCCTGTGTTCTGAGAGAGCTACAACGATTGGGGTGAGGCAGAAGAACATGAAGCAATGATGCCGGCGCAAAATGGGCATGTCGATGGACATGAGTGCTTTAACAATGTCACCTTGATCAGTTCCTAATTCTTTTAATTTACTATGCACGATGATGATTCATTACACATTTATTTTGTCTGATAGAAATGTGATGTAAAGACATTCTCCTATTGATGTGTATCCTAATGTGCAGTTTATTTGTCCTCACTAAGTTGTGCCTTATTACAAACATGGAGCTTCTGCATAGTGCCATCCAACACCGTATGTCCTAGGCCTTCCCCATCTTTGCAACACGATGGTGAGATCCCTGGTTGTGCTTGGTTCTGCTGTATGGTGCACATATTATTTTTCTCTAATGCAACTCTCTATGTGTTATTTACAATAATTGGATAGAAAAATTTCCAAAATGAGTTAAGTTTCTTGGTAATTACTAATATTCAACATATTCAGAACTTGCCAATCAAACCAAGGAAAATTCCAAAATGAGATGAGCTTCTTAGTAGTTAATAAAATTATAAGATCATTCACTCTATAGTCTCTACCCTCAAATCGATCGTGCCAAGACTCACTGTAAAAGCTGATGACTATGGGTGAATATACTATTATACTCATTTCTAATATCATACTAATATAGGTGAATTCTTTTATAAACCAAACCTGGTGTACAGTTTTTATTAAGTATGCACTACTATTCATTTTTGTTAAGTTACCTTGCACACTTCCTTGTAGTTGACTTCTATAGGATCTTATGCTCATGCTATCACTACCACAGACTGTTTTTCTCACGACTCTGATGTTTTTATCTCATATATCTTGCTGCAAAGTTGGATACCAATATTTTTTTATCATGTGCTGCAGAGTGCAGACTCTGATGTGACATGAGCTATAAATTTCGAAGAGGTAAATTGATCTAGTTCTCTATTGTTGCCATTTTTTTCTACCTACAGAGCTGGTTTTTGCCTTCAAAGTTACAGATCCTGTATTGAGCAGTAGCGGTATTGGTGCTTCTGAAGTAGTTGCTAGTCACATTATTCTTAGAAAACAAATCTGCACAATCATCGATCTCAACATTATTCTTAATTTTTTTGGGAGAGAACTAAATCTCAACATATATTCTAATGAGAAATCGTCGATCTCAGATTTGTCCAGGGCTGCTGCCATATCCTTCCAGACCTCAGTTAAACGATAGACATTTTAAATAGTCAATAAGTTTTTCCTCTCATATCTTGCCTTACATCACTATAACTGTGATGATGTTCTTCTCATAAAAAAAATTGAGACTTTAGCTGTTGCATAATTAATAGGGTGTGATGATATTGTATGGGCTGCTGTGTGTGATAAACTGCTTTAGTTACAATTAGAATGGCTGTTAGTTACTGTTTTAGCAGGCCACTTGAGGTACAGTTCTACTTTGGTCAATTATCTGATTGTAGCCTTATGTCCAAAACATGTATGGATCGTATTGGTACTTTACTTGTAGCTCATTTGTCAAAATTTTCAAATAGACATACCACCAGAATTAACTAGTCCTTTTAAATCATGATATCTGTTACGCCTTTGGTGATATGGTTACCAGCCTACAACTAGACCACTCTGAAATTTTTTTGTTCCTACAAGTATTGATTTACTATATACGCAACAAACATGAATATAACTCTTGTTTCCACATTTCATGGTTCATGTGTGAAATGTAAATATATATGTTCTGGTCGAATTTGAATTGTAAATTTAAATTTTTTTGGCGGAAAAATATAGAACCGCCCCTACAAACAGGTATCATAGGGGCGGCTGGTACTACAGCCGCCCTTACAAATCGATTTGTAGGGGCGGCTGATAACACCAGTCGTCTCTACAAATCGATTTGTAAGGGCGGTCTGGGAACCACCCCCTGCAAATACATGATTTGTAGAGACGGTATGGTAGGGGCGGCTGGCCGAGCCGTCTCTACGAAGCCTCACCAGCCGGCCCTAGAAACCATTCATATAGTAGTGTGTGTATGCCGGCTGCGTCCTACGTCACCGGCCAGGTCATCTAGGTTGACGGTGGCCGAACCATAAGTGCTTAACAAGCATACATCGATCTATGTCCTAGTTTATACATTCCCGTGGTGTTATTTATAATCGTTACATTCTCGTTAGGCAGTGTGCTTTTAGAGAGGCCCGAATGGGCTTATATTTATTGTATCAAATTCGATATAACCATTATATATAAATTAATAATGGATCAATCAAAATTATACTAGGTCTACCTAGGAAAACGTCTCCCGCTGAGAGCCTCTGGCTATTATACACCTAGAAAAATACAGACAGAAATTCATAGCTATTAAAATCAAGGGCTAATAAGAAAAAAAAACTCATCCAACAGTCGATCTTTCATGTGTGATGCTAGCCTTCTCCCCACACCGACACACCGACCAAGCCCTCATGTCCGCACCCCGTAGGCACGGTTCAAACACTCCGTGACCCCGATTCGATTCCCAGCCCCCACATTGTTTTCCCTTTTTTCGAGAAAACAAAGGGTCGGAACATCGTCCTCCTTCTCCTTCCCCCGAGCGCACGCCACTCCCACAGTAATCCCCACCCAAATTCCCGTCCTCCCGATCCCCTCCCTTGTCGCTGCCCGTAAACCCTAATCGAGCCCTACCCCAGCCGGCGTCGCCCGGCGCTGTCGTGCCCACGCTGCCCCCCTCGGCGGCCCACGATGCTGTGAGCCAAAACCCTAGCCGCCGCCTCCATATCCCGAGTCCGCAGGGAAGCAGGAGAGGGAGGGCCGCCCCGCCGCAGATGGAGCCCGCGAGGCGCGCAAGGATGGGCGCTCGGCCTCCCGTCCGTGCGGTTTGTTCTTGTTCGGGTGCGCCGCGACGCCATGGCGGCGGGCGGCATTGCCACGGTCCTCACCGTCCTGGCCGCTGCACACTGCTGCCGGCCTGGAGCACCCAGCCAAGAACGACGGGTCGCTGAGCCTGCTCGTCGTCAGGGACTGGGGCCGCAAGGGGGAGTGCAACCCGTTCCGCATCACCCAGCAGGTAACAAGCATGTTCATCTCCCTCGGGCTCCGGCCTCCTCCCATGTATGATCCGTTCCTATTCGTCGGAGTAGAGAATATGTGGTCGACAAATCAGCGGGATAGGGAGCCGGAATCCAGAAATCGGTGGCCGTTTTCCTATTGTTTAGCGTAAAAAGGCGTGGGAATGAAACTGTCTGGCAGGGTACAATAGATCGCCAGTTGACAGTTGTTCCATTAGATTTGTTTATTTATGCGTTGAGGCCTCGACGCCCTGCTCCCAGTGGCGCGTGCTCGTGATTTTTTTTATCCTGTTTGTTGCTGCGCATCTGTGGAAATGGACCAAAAGAAAAAACTCCCGGCAGTTGTGTTTCTAGGATCTACGAATCACAGGGACAGGACAGAAGATTTTACTCAACAGACCAATCTGACGTGAAAATTTACCTCTGGGGACTGTAATAACT